ACAAATTCATGGCTGGGGAGGCACGATTTCACAATTTTCCTGAAGACAGGAGTTGTTTAAACATACAAATGCCCAAGGCCTGTTAAGGTTTTGAAATGTACACATGGAGCAGTGACGTTCTGAGTCGTGCATAGAGCTGTGCCCCTGCAGCAGCCATTCTGACCTTCGTGGTGTTTCTTGCAGTGCTCCGGCTGGGCAATGTGGTGCACGCCTTGGTAGCAGCCAGGAAAACTACAGAGCTTCCCGAAGTGCTTCCTCGCATCTGCCTGACAGCCTCCAACCTGACCCATGCTCTGTACTTCTTCTGCGACATGGTGCTGTGGTTGAAGAACGTTGGACTCCAGTCTGACATCAATAAAGCACAGTGGCAGAACTGGGCTACCAAGTGCTACTACTTCTCACTGCTGATGAACCTGGCCAGGGATTGGTATGAGGTCTCTTGGAGGCTGGAACAAGCTGTACAGGAAGAAAAGGTGAAGAACTATTTCTGGGACAAACAACATCAGCAGCTAAACTCTTCCAAATGTAATGGCTTGCATGGTTTTCTCTTCCTGCTGTTTCAAATACTCAGAAGTCATCCTCCTCTGCTGCTAGATCTGGTGAAGAACCTCTGTGATCTCTCTGGTCCTTTGGACACACTGGGGATCTACAAAACCAACCCAGGCGTGATTGGTTTCTGTGGGCTCCTCTCCTCTCTGGTGGGGATCCTCACTCTAGCAAGCCCACACCTGAAGCTGTAGGAGTGATGTAAGAGGAACTGCTCAGTGCGCAGTGAGCCAGCAGGTTTGATCCTCTGACAGGTTCTTATTCTCCACATGGCACTTTAAAAATGAAGATGTCTCACTTTAACCTCAAAATGAGTTTGTTTCCCTCCAAATAAGCCACTTCTGCCCTTTGTCCTTCCCTGTGCCTTGGCAGATGAGTTTGGTGCCCAACAGAGCAAAGGTGGAAGAAGGCAGAGTAAGATTGCACAGACAGAAGGACTTGGAACATGGCTGCTAGATAAGGAAATATTGATGGTCCTGTATTTTAATACAGCTTTATGAAATAGCTGCCTAGACTACTGTAGTATGTGTATGACTCATAACTAATCATGTTTACAAAGGAAAGCTAGAATTCAGCAATCAAACGTTCCTATAGCCAAATTTTCTGTAATATGTTCAGACAAGTTAGAAACCGTGGTTAGATAGCCTGAAGTAAAGCCTGAGTGTTGTGACAGGACTGGATTGCTGGATCCTGATTTCTGTAGGCAGTGGTTTGATGATAACTGGAAAGTGGTGTCATCTGAGCTTTCAGTGATCCCTCTGTAACATGAACATGCACTGCTTACTCTGGACCTACAGTTTGGTGAGTGCCAATTTACATCTCAAGAAATCAAAAACTTCTTTTCCTTTGATTATACAAGCCAAGATGGGTTGGCCACCAACTAACTCTTCCAGCAGGCCATGGCTGAGGATTTTGGTGAAGAAAAGCATGTGGGAAATGCTGATCTCATTGCTGCTAATGCTGTGATTTGTAGGGATCTGAGTGCAGTGAAGCTGTGAATCTGGAACCTGTCATAAGCACTACCTTTCCCATTACATCCACACCTTAATTCCTGTGATTCCAAGTGAGCCATTTTACATTAATGACAGTGTGATAAGCAGCTTGTTCTGCTGTTTTAATTTTACTTGAAAAAGTCCAGTGTAATAAGGAGCTTTGGAACCTGCAGTTAAGGAGAAAAGGCCGTCTTGGAGCTTGTCAAGTAAGAAAAGCTGCAAGGGTGTTTCCAGTTGAGTAAGCTCCCAGAGGGAATGGAGTCACACTTGATCAGATATCAGAACGTCCTCAAGAAGAGAAGCTTATTACCTGGATTTGGGCATTCATGTTTCAGATTTTCTTTCCTGATTCTCTTATTCTTCCATCATGACAGCAAGATTTCTTGTGTGTTCTCTCACTGGTTCTACCGTTTGAAAATGCCTTTTGTTTGCCCTGCGACTGCATAACTGCTCTTCAGTTTTCTGGCTGGAATGATTGCCTGGGTTGTGAGCGAGGTTAGAGGAGAAATGCTGTGTCCAGCAGTCTAACAGCTTACACGATGTGCTTTGTTGCTCCTGACTTTGCAGAGGATCAGTTCTAACACCATCTGAGAAAAACTTGCACGTGGCATAGGACACAAAATTATTGCTTTTCTTCATCATTGCCAGGCCTGTGTGTTCTGTTGCTTTCTGACTGTAAGGGCTGCTTGTTTAATCAGTCAGGAGATGTGAATAGAGATTATCCTAACCAGGACCAACATACTTGATTATGATTTCTGATACTCTCTGTAAACAGAATTAAAAGGTGCCAGTCACCTTTATTAAAGGAGGAGGCTGTGGAGCTGAGCAGGCATGGAAATGCAGTGTCCCAGTTTACCTGAAGTCATTGTGGTCCTGCTTGGAATTACTTCCACTTTGAACCTGAAGCGTTAGGCTGCCAATGAAGTGTTTGAAAATAGAGGTTGCTGAGCAGGGTAATTAAGTGTGCCTGAAGACCGAATATGGCCTGTAGCAGCTCTTCTTTTTAATATGGAAATGAATACCACTAAAAGTAGAGCACTCTGCAGGCCAGGCCATAATGAATGCGTTGTTGTCCTCAAGGGTTTTTTCTTGCTACTTGTTTAGCAGTTGGGTTTTTGTTGTTGTTTCTTAGTTTCTTTATACAATGTGCCTTTGAGTTGCTGGCACTGTGTGGCCAATCCCTCCCTTGGTCAGATTTGAGCATTATCCCAGTGTCAGCAACCCGGTAAGGAAAGGAGAGGAGTCTTGGTGATGTATCAGCAGAGCCCTGGGCACTCTTTGCCTACAGAATCTTTCTTCTTGCAAGAGCCGCATTAAGAATTGCTCTCAGGAGACCTCTTGGGTACAAAACAGATCTTACACTGGTTTGCATACTGATTCCTCTTTTTCCTATGTAGTTCATAGGCAAGGGGGAATGGATTCACACACTGACGTGGCCCTGGCTAGATGCACGTCCCTGTGCCAAGCAAACGCTGTGCAAAGTCACAAAGCAGACCTTGGTGTTCCTCCTGGAGGGGCTGGGGTGGCTCAGCAAGTACAGACTTAACCTGGGACATGGGACAATGAATTTTCAGCCTTCCTCAGCCTTACCTCCATTTGGCGTAACATGGATCAGAGCGTACAGGAGTAACTCTAGTGGATGTGAAGCACTAATACTGCCTTTCTGCTCCCCTGCTGGGGGCTAACAGTTTAATGTACCTTAATGTAACGTGACTGAAGCCATAGAATTGCAATCAAATGGAGAAAATCCTTTTAGTGCCTTTTCTGTGTATGTTCCTAATACAACAGTTGGAATAAGGAGAGGTGTTTGAACACAAGCAATAAACTTTGATGCGTATAACACTGCATCTGTGTGTGACTTTGAGGATGGGGAAAAGAGATTCTGAAGGAGTTCCCTCTCATATCACTGGGATTTCTGAAGCTGTTAGATGTTTAATGATGAATCAAGGGCAGAGTGAAGGATAGCATCTCCAGCTGAGATGGGGAGAGATGGGGAGAGATGGGGAAGGGATAACCAGTAGAAGTGAGCTCTTGCTGGTAGCTCACTGCTCTTACTGCTTACTCCTATCCCCTGCAACAAGAACTTTACAAACGTGAAGGCTCCAAAATGTCCTTCCCTGAACAACACACAAAGCATTGCATTCAGCAACAATTTAGCAAGAGTTTCCTTCTGAATAACTGCTCTTACACTCATTTCATAATAGCAGCAATTAACAGCAGAATAGTAAGCAAGATAAGTAATCTACTCATAGACAAGGCTTTCCTAATGTTAACATTGCACTTGGCATGATATTTCAGGAAGAGTGAGCTGCTCAGCATTCCCAGGTGAGCAGCAGGAGCAATCAAAGGTCTAAAAAGCAACATCTCCAGGGAGGGATCAAATGAGCTGTTTTGTAGAGGAAAGGTGACTGAGGGAGGGCGTGTGGAGGGTTTTCTGTCAAGTGGAAGGCAATAAATTAGTCTCCAATCCACCCAAGGGGTAATACATATCTGTTGCCACAAAGGAGAATCAAATCTTGTGGGCAATGACATTTGAAACTTCTGTAAAACAAAACACTGAAGAGATTGCCCAGGAAGACAGAGCTCCACAGGAAAGGCAGAGGCTGTGCTGTCTGCTGATCCCTGCTCTCACTGGGCAGAGGGAAGGCTGACGCTGCCCCTGGTATCATGCCTGTTCACCGTGGCCAAGAGAGGAAACCCGTGAGCAGGCTGCTGCCCTTTGTCCCACTGTCTGGAGAGCCCTGAATCACTGCAGCACTGTGCCAAACCCTGACAGACATCTGTGTGCCTCTGCACAGGGTGAGCCTCTTGCTGTGAGCAAGCCCAGGCTCTTCCAGGAGTCGTGGAGCATCAGGATCACCCAGTCCAACCATCAGCACACCCCCACCGTGCCCACTGACCACATCCCTCAATGCCACATCCCCAGAGTTCTCGAGCACCTCCAGGGATGGTGACTCCACCACCTCCCTGGGCAGCCTGTTCCTCTCACAGGACACTGCCTATATGCCTGTCCTGCTGGTCCAGGTGAGTAAGGATCCAGCCAGGTCTACTTTCCCTGTGCCAACAATCCCTTCCTTTATTAGTGATAAGGGAAAGTGCTCCTGCTCAACCCCACTCAAAGTCCTTTTACCCTCCTGTCCTGCTGCTTGGCTACACCACAGCCACCTTTCCATCCCTCCCTCAACTCCATCGTCTGTGCTGCTCCAAACCCAAGCTGCACACTCACACATTCTATACCCTATCCTCCTCTTCTCCTCAGCGCCTTGGTGTGCTGCCACAGTACTGCACAAACACAGGCAGGTCTTAATCTCTTCTGCATTCATCATCTCCTCATTTGACATATGGGGATGATTTTGCAGCCATCCATCCCCCAAGATGGGAGCCTTTGGGGAGCTGTTTGCCCACTTTCCCCAGCAACTCATGCCCCCCTTGCCCAGCCCAGGTTGGAGGTGGAGCCTGGGGGTAGTAGTGCCCCAACACCACACAGCCCAGGCACAGGACCCAAGTGAGGACGGGCTGCCCCAGCAGAGGAAGAGCGTGTGGAGCATCGGCTCTAGGGTTTAACTGGTAAAAAGTCAAAGCTTGGGCAATGCCACAATCACAGCTCCCAGGGGAGCTGTGTGGCCCAGCCCAACCCCTGCACATCATGCTCTGAGCCCCAGCCTGGCTCAGACCTCACTGCACGCTCTGCAGCTCTGCACTTTGCTTTGCAGGAGGACGTGGCACAATGACGGCGAAGAAGAATCAGCCCTTGCAGAACGGAAGGGCCAAGGTGAGTGTGGGGAGAGGGAGAGGAAACAGGGGGAGGAGAATAGCTCATACCGTGCTGTCTTGTGTGTTATCTTTGCTTGTAATAATACAGAGCAGCCATCAAAGTATCGTCACTCGCATGCCTGAAATAAAACAAACGAGAATCAACAAAGGTAACCTTGATCTAATAGGACCTATCAGCATGTATCAGTATTTATCCATGGGATTTCTGGGTCAGCTGGCTCCACGTCAAGATAAAATTAGCAGGAGGTGTATTTTCCTTGTTGAACATGCAGATTCACAGACGAATCGGGCCATGAAGCCAGACTCAGCTTTTCTTGAGGAGTGGCTGCTGGCTGGCCCCTAACTGGTCCCCATCTGATGCACAGGAGAACGTGCTGCAGCGTGTCCTGCAGCTGCCGGTGGTGAGCTCAACCTGTGAAAGCTTGCAGCGGACCTACAGCAGCACCAAAGAGATCCACCCAATTGTGGCCTCGGTGTGTGAGGTCTATGAGCAGGGAGTGAAGGGCGCCGGCGCCTTGGCCATGTGGAGCGTGGAGCCTGTGGTACGCAGGCTGGAGCCTCAGTGTGAGTCCATCAGCAGGGATGTGATGGGGTATCCAACAGTGGGACACCACCTGCGCTCACCCCTGGCACAGCCCCCAGCCTTAATCTCCACCCTGCATGCTTTTGCCCAAGGCAGTCTCTGTGGCCAACAATTTGGCATGTCGGGGCTTGGACCACCTGGAGGAGAAGATCCCAGCCCTTCAGTATCCTGTTGAGAAGGTAAGTCATGGGTGGGAAAGCCTCTGGGACCCTTTAGACACTCCAGCCCCCCTGCAGAGCCCACAGGATTTCTCCTCTGGGCCAAAACCCTGGTTCTCACCTGGCAACCAGTGATGGCAAGGGGCTTCCAGAGGGCACCTCAAAGCAAGGACTTGGCCACAGGTGTGGTTGGATTGCTCCTAAATATAGGCCAGCAGGTCCTGCATGGCTGGCTACCTGCAGCCCAGGCTATAGGAAATCGTCCTGCTGCTTTAGGGGATGTCTTCTTGCATGGCCCATGGTCTCTCCAGCTGCTCTGTGCCATCCAGAGCACATCAGAAGGGTTCTTCTCCATCTCTCTGCCTGCAGCTCGCCTCCAAACTGAAGGACACCATCTCCACCCCCATCCAAAGTGCCAAGAGCACCATCGGGTACTCCATGGACAAGATCTTGGGGCTGGCGGTGGGTGGCTATGAGACGACCAGAACCACAGTGGAGGCAACAGCAAGGTACACGAGGAGCAACTCAGTGAGCCAGATGGCAGCCGCCGGGATGGACACCGCCCTGGGTGGGCTGGAGAAGCTGATGGAGTACCTGTTGCCAGAAGAGGAGGAGGAAGCAGGTAGTATCGGCCAAGATCACCTCGGGGTGTCTGCAGAGGGGTGTCCTGGTAAGGCAGGGGTCTGCTGGGGTGGAGGAAGCACCCAAAGCGGTCCCCATGGAGATGGGGACTCACTGATGGGGTGTAGGTGGAAAGAAAAAGATCTTGGTGCAGGGCTGTCCCACCAGGCTGTAACATCCCACACTCTCCCTGTGCTGTTCTACCTTTAGATCTGAAGCCCAAGAAGGCCTGTAGACCAGCAAAGGTCTCCCAGCAGCAATCCAGGACATACAGGGCTCCCAGTGCTCCCAGTGCTCCCAGCAGTGCTCCCAGCACTCTGGGCCGGATTGGAGCCCTGGTCAGCACCGCCTCTCACCGTGCTTACCAGCACACCGTCCAGAACCTCCAGCGTGCCAAAGCCAAAGGACAGGAACTGGTCGTCTGGATCCCCATCTTGGTGAGTCCCAGCCTGTCTCAAAGCCTTGGGGCCTGGAACTCACCCCGAGCACTGGTTTCTGTCTCCCCTGCAGGGCAGTCTGGCCAAGCCGAGCCCACCTATGGTGCCGCAGAGCCATGGTGAGAGGCAGAGCACTGCGGGCAGCTGGAGGCAGAGCAGGGTGCCGGAGCAGAAGCAGGAGAAGGCAGAGAAGAAGGAGGACAGCCATGCTGGTGAGGTAGGGAAAAAAGGAGGTAGTGGTGAGATGGGGTCATTCCAGAGCATCATCTCAATCCCACCATGTTCTCGGCCTCTTCTCCAGCAAACCAAATCAAGGCACTTCCCTTCTGGCATTCTCCCAGGGGCTGGGTGCGATCCAAAGGACCCAGCAACCGGCATCTCTAGCTCAGTCTGCCTTAGGAGAAAAAGCTCTGAACTCCCAAAAAGGGCTGCGACAGCCTCTGGGCCAGGCAGTGCTCCAATTTCCGAATCGGCACCTAGCTCCCAGTTGTTGGTTTGGGGTCTCAGTACAAAACATACTCCCACTGTGGTCTCGGGAGTGAACAGGAGGACCCTGGGTCTGGGGGGGCTCTGCTGACAGCACATGGGCTGGAGGACTTTCCCTGGTGGTAGCAGCTCTGCTGGGACATGGGGACAGAAAGCTGCAGGTCGGGGTCGGTGCCCTTCACCTTCACTTGCAGCAGAAGTGTGAGGTCCCAAAGGGCTGGTGGGGCTACCATAAGTGATGCTGTTTTCTGTCTGCAGGCAGGGGATGGCCTTGGACTGGTGGGCAGCGTGGCTCACAACCTGCAGAGTGCCTGTGCCTCTGGCATCTCCAGCATGAAGAAGGTCCCTGCTGTGGCCTGGGACGCTGCAGAGGGGTTGATCCTGTTCACACCCCGCAGGCTGTCCAGGGCCATGGAGACGGTGGATGCTCTGGGAGGGACGCTCATCAGTGCCCCTAAGCACCTGCTGGGCAGCCTGTACAGCTACGTGCCGGTGAGTGCATCCCAGCACCTTGGGGACACACAGGGATCGGGTCCCACCCACCTCCAGCAAAACCCCTTCTGTTCCACTCCCTGTATAAAGGCGAGGCACAGGTTAATACTGGGACCACATTCCCTTCCTCCACCCATCCTCTTCCTACCTGCTCCCCCCCCGGGGCTGTCCTGCGGTCACCTACTCCCTACTCTGAGGGCCTCCATGGGGACAAACCTCCCGTCCCAAAGTCTCCCCAGGGAGAGCCCTACTGCTCAGCCCAGCCCTCAGCTCCGCAGGCAGTCCAAGGACGAGGCGGCAGCGCGGGGCAGCAAGCCGGGTCCTGAGGCCGAGCAGAAGGAGGAGGAGGAGAGCAAGCCAGTGGGCACCAGCGCCGAGGAGAAGGCCCAGCTGAGGGGTGACTGGCGGCTGTACCGCGGCCACCACCCGCTGTCCTTCCTGGGCCTGGAGGACCCTCTCTTCATACGCAGCAATCTGTACCGCAGCTCAGCCCTGGAGCCCGAGGCTGTGCCGCGGAAATCGGCCTTCGCGCCCTACAGCCGGCGCGTGAGCGAGGGCTCCTATCGCTTCAGCCCCGAGGCCATGTACAGCCGGGCCTACTATGCCAACCTCTACAGCCCAGCCTTCAAGAAGGAGTGACTCTGAGCGGGAGAACCTCGGCCCCAAACTTCCCCCAGCACGCTTCGCCTTCATGTACCTACATCCCACATCTCCTGCTTACCCACATCCCCAACATGGCACAGATATGGTTGTCCATCTTGGGTTGTCCATCTGTCCATCCGTGGTTGAGGGTCCCTGCTCTGCTCCAGGCTCGGTGACAGCTGTGCCAGGGGATGTCCCCTCTTTGGGGCCAAGAGGAGAATAAAAGCAGCCCAAGGGGCCGCTGTTGGAGGAGTAGATAAGAGAAGAGGGGATGAGTGAAGGAGAAACATTGAAGGAGAAAAAGGGACCAGCCAGCTCTGACACTGGGCCACCTGCTGCTCGTTAAAGAAGCAGTGTCAGACAGGTGAGGTACAGAGCACTGAGATGGACTGGAGGGAACACAACCATCAAACATCGCAGAACAACATAGAATCATCACAGAATGACTTGAGTTGGAAGTGACTTAAAGCCCATCCAGTCCCACCCCCCTGCCATGGGCTGGTTGCCCCCACCAGCTGAGGCTGCTCAGGGCCCCATCCAACCTGGCCTTGAGAACCTCCAGGGATGGGGCACCCACAGCTCGGGGCACCCTGGGTCCTCATCCTTCTTTCCACAGTTTTGGGGTCAGAGACAAGACCAGAGCACCGGTACCCCAGCCTCCTGCAGGAAGGCCCCATTCCCACAACTTGTGATTGTACCTGCTGCAGTAATAAACCTTCCCTCTTACCCCCCATCACCCTTTGCATAGTCTGCTTTACAAGAGCTGCCTACTGGCTGCTGAGCCTTAAAGGGCTGGGAACACTGAGGGAGGGAGAGCACTGACGGTGCAGAGGGCTTTTTGCAGTGCTTGGGCAGTGCCCAACACTGTACGTGCCCCTTCCTATGCCTGGAGTACAAACTCAGAGCCACCAGGGGCTTCCTGCCAAAGATTTATTCCATTCGCAGAACAGTGCAGAGCAATCTCTGTCTGCACTGCACATACACAACCTCCTTCCTACACACTGCATTCCCAGGAACAGCAGAGAAGGGGAAAGGCCTCCCTGCCCCCCTCCTCCCTCCCCTTCCTCCCCAGGGACAGGCAGGCTCAGAGGTCTGCATTTATGAGACACACGGTACAGTCCCACACCCTGGGAAAAAGCCCAGTGCCTGACTTTCCCATGCTGAGCCTGGGCTGTCACCAAAAGGCTGCAGGAGGGAGGTCAGCAGCACAGCGCTGCTTAGAGTCACATAGGATGAGATGGGGTGGGAGAGGATGAGATGCAATGGGATGGAGGGTGAAGGACTCTGCCTGCTGTCCTCCAGGCTCAGTACTGGCACGGCCAGGATGCCAGGGTGCCAACAGGGACACGGAGCAGGACATAGCTGCATGTCCTCCCTGCTAGCCCACAGAAGGAGCTGGGGATGCTGCAGGCAACAACAGAGCCAAGAGCTGAGGGCTGAGCAGAGGAAGGCCCTTGCCTTGCTGGTCACATACAGCCAGAGACCCAGATCCTGGGGTTTGGAGAACCTGCCGTGCTCCTGGGACACATCCAATCTGCACAGAACACAGGAGGCCTCATCCAGCTACACAACAAGAAACAAAGACGCTGCTCAGAGCGAGTCCGTCCGCTTACGGGCAAACACTGCTGACACAGTCCTGACGATGCCTCGGATGCCAGCACCTCTTTTCAGCCTGGTGTCGGGGATGCGCTCAGCCAGTCCATGGAACACCATGAGAGCCCCATGGTAGGCCTCGGCCGCAGAGACCTCATAGAAACCACAGTCCAGAGACAGGGCCAGGAGCCGTCCCTCCTCGCTGGAGACAGCCCGCCGGTGCTGCAGGTCCCGCTTGTTGCCCACGATGACGATGGGCACCTGCTCCTGCCCCTCCTTGGCCGCCCTAATGAACTGCACTTTGAGGGGCAGGAGGTTGAAGCTGGCGCGGTCGCAGATGCTGTAGACCAGGATGAAGCAGTCTGCCCACTGGATTCGTTTCTCCTCCGAGGAACCATCATCAGCCTGGGGAACGGGGAAAAGGAACAGATTGGGTTTCCTCTTTAGGAGGAGGGCACACAATGGGAAGGAGCCCTCTCACCTGTGAGCTGGGGACATCCCAGATGTGGAAGAGAACCTCTCGGCCATCCACGGTCAACGTGTGGCTGTAGATGAATTCTGCCAAAAAAAAGTGAGTCTGAGGCTGTTTGTCTCTACAGGCAGTTCCCTCACAGCTGATCTCCTCCAGAACCTTTAGGGACCCAGGGCTGTCCCTGACTCAGCCCACGCACAGCTGCACTTTCTGCACCCCAGTACAATGACAGTACAGCTCCTGATCAAACATGAACATCAAGCCTCTGGGGAGCTATAGAATAATATGGGAGAGGACAGGAAGGAACCAAATACTGCAGGAGGATCTGGCTCGCCCTGCAACCTCCCTGTCCCTAACAGGAATGGAACGGGGCTGGCATGGTCAGCACTCACCCATGTCTCCGTACTCTCCGATAAAGCGCCTCGTAAGGAAACGTACAGTCAGGGCTGCAAAGGGGAGAACAAGGATCACAAAATAATCCCGAACCTCTGAGACTTTCATCTTAAACCCAGCCCACACACAGCTTAGACCTGAACACACTCAGGATGCATTCTCCCACAAACTCCCACTGTTGGGACCGATCTCTGATTTTCCCCTTTCTGAACACCAGCAGAGGCAGGACTGCTCTCTGCAGCTCATTCTGCAAACCCTGCTGCAGTCTGCAGCCTATTTTTGCAGTAGAAATGGTTTTTCCTGCCTGTAAGCTCTCAGCTCGCGCTCATTCCTCACCTGATTTCCCCACGCTGTCTGCTCCCATTACCAGCACATTGGCTTCTGCTCTCAGGGCAACAGGGCTGGGCAGCTCCAGGAGGGCCGGGTGCTCGGGGGTGAAGCTGGCACTCCTGCGCAGCCGAAGCCCCATGGCAGCACTCCCAGCTCCTCCACGTGCACCCAGGGGACCTGCCAGGGCTACTGGGTACTGCCTGCAGCTGCAGGCAGCGGGATTCAAAATGTTGCTATGGGTTGGATCATCCCCACAGTACGTCAGTGCCGGGGCTGGCCTTGTCACCTCCCAGCACGCAGGGCTGGCTGCAGAGTATCCCAGGAGGCTGCCCACGCTGCTGCTCCTCAGCTGGGACATGTGGTCCTTTTGTCTCTTCTCATGGAGGCTGGAGGATCACCCACAGAGCATCTCATAATGGAAGATGTGTCTCAAAGCACATTAAGTGTCTCAGAAGTGATGGAGTGCATCACAACTAATGGATCCTCTTACAGATGATAGAGCATCTCAAGGCTGATGGAGCATGCTGTGATCGATCACAGAATGACTAAGATTGAAAAAGACCTTAAAGATCACCCAGCTCCACCCTGCTGTTGCGGGCCGGATGCCACCCACCAGTTCATGCTGCCCAGCGCCCCATCCAGCCTGCAATTGAGCACCTCCGGCGGTGGGGAGCATCGTGACGGAGCACAGCACAAGTGATGGAGAACCTCAGAAGTGATGGACTTGTGGGTACGAGCAGATGTGGAACTCTCCACGGGGCAGCGAGGCCCCGGCACCGCCTGCCCAAAAACCTGCGGATGCTCCAATCGGGTGGGATGGGGTTTTAAGCAAAGCCGATCCGGTGGGCGGCAACCAGCCTGCGGCAGCGGACGGAACCGGACGGTCCTAAGACCCCTTGCGACCCACGCCATCGCACCACTCTACGAGCGCCTGAGGAGCGCCGGATCACATCGCGCCACGATCCCACCCACCGCCCCGCCGGGCGGAGCCGCCTGACGCCATCGCAGCGCGCCGAGCAGCGCTCCGCCCCGCCATGGGCCCGGAGGGGGCGGCGGTGCGGGTGGCGGTGCGGGTACGGCCGCTGCTGCCCAAGGAGGTGCTGCGCGGGCACCGCTCCTGTCTGCGCGGAGATGCGGCCACCGGGGAGGTGGCGCTGGGCCACCGCCGCCGATTCCGCTTCGCCGCCGTGCTGCCCGAGGCGGCGGGGCAGGAGGCCGTGTACAGCGCCTGCGTCCGGCCGCTGCTGCGGGCCTTCTTCCAGGGTTTCAACGCCACCGTCTTCGCCTATGGGCAGACGGGATCCGGCAAGACCTACACCATCGGGGAAGCCAGCGTCGGTGAGTGGCGGGCAGCGGCTTCCCGCCCAACTCATCTCCATCACATTCCCATCCCGTCATCCCATCCCCTGCTGCCGTCCCATCGCCCCCATCCCACCCATCCCTCTTTCCAAAGTTGTTTCAGTGGCATTACTGGATCTATAGTTACCTTAGTGAGTGTGGCCACAGGTCAGCTTTGGTTAACTTCGCCATTTGGGAACGCTGAGTTACGTCCATACATTGAGATTCGTCTCTGCTTTGCTTTCAGGTCAGGCTGTAGGTCCAGGTGTGGAGTTGCAGTTCTGTATGGCTGCTGGAGACAAAAGCAGAACAGCTTAAGATCACAATGGCAGAGCAGGCAGATAATGAGCAGGGAGAGCTGATGGGGAAATGCTGGCTCCTAAGGGCAGCACTCTTTAGCTTTGCACTCAATATCTGTTATCAGTGGGAACGCTGACGTCCTTTTTTCTTCTTGAGGAAAAACTGTTGCATGAGTCCACCACCACTGTGCAGTGGTGAGGTTTTCCCCAAGTCCTAAAATCCTTGCAGGAGTTTGAATTTAAGCAGTGCAGAGCTCTAGGAAGGCCGGGGGGGCTGCTCCCCTCTGATGAAACCCACACTGCAGCCCTGACTCCAGCCCGTCCCCAGCCAGCGTGGCTTCAGGCACAAGCCATAACCCATGATCGTGTCCATGTCTCTTTGCCAGCTTCCATCAATGAGGATGAGCAGGGCATCATCCCACGAGCCATGGCAGAGACCTTCCAGCTCATCGACGAGAACGACCTCATTGACTACACAGTGCGCGTGTCCTACGTGGAGGTGTACAAGGAGGAGTTCCGGGACCTTCTGCAGGTGGACACAGCCAGCAAAGACATCCAGATCCGAGAGGATGACAAGGGCAACATCGGTATGTGCAGCTGCCCTGGGCTTCCTTTTCTCCTCAAAGGCCGTTGTTTGGTTTTGTCATTTTGTTGGGTCCCTTATCCATTTGCCGTTGCAGTGCTCTGCGGTGTGAAGGAGTCTGAGGTGGAAGGACTGGATGAGGTGCTGAGCCTGCTGGAGATGGGCAACACGGCCAAGCACACGGGCGCCACGCACATCAACGCGCAGTCGAGCCGCTCACACACCATCTTCACGGTGACGATGGAGCAGCGGCGCAGCGCTGGCCGCGTCACTCGCCTTGCCCTCTCCAACCAGCCCACCATCCCTGCTTCGGGGCAGGTCCTGGTTTCCAAGTTCCATTTTGTGGACCTGGCAGGCTCAGAACGGATCGTCAAGACAGGAAACACTGGGGAGAGGCTGAAGGAGAGCATCCAGATCAACAGCGGGCTGCTGGCCTTGGGCAACGTCATCAGTGCTTTGGGGGACCCTCGGAGGAAGGGCAGCCACATTCCTTATAGGGATTCCAAAATCACCAGGTACAGATGGGGAATGGGACTCCACACATCCCGTGGGCTGGTGGCCCAGCAGCAGGGACGTGAGGCGTCTTGGTGGTCCTTCTCATGCCCAGCCTACCTGGTTTGCTGGCAGAGACCCCAGGCTTGAACAGGAGAAGCTCACAGGGCAAGACATCCCTTCTGCTTTCATGCCAGTAAGCACAGAATTGGGTGGTACCTGGCTCCAACAGTTATTTAGGTAGAAACTTGGTCACAATGCAAGTTGTTACTCCTCTATCCTCTGCCATTCAGAGAGATCTATACAGGCTGAAGCACTACACCCAGGAGAACCTCATGAGGTTCAACAAAGCCAAGAGCAAGGTGTTGCATTTGGGTCACAGCAAACCCCACTGTCAGTACAAGCTGGGGATGTAAGGATGGAAGACAGACCAACCAAAAAGGTCTTGGGGGTACTGGTGGATGGCAGCTAGGCATAAGTTTGCAATGCGCCCTTGCATCTGAAAAAGCCAGTTGTATTCTGGGCTGCATGCAGAGTGGTTACCAGGGCGAGGGGGGAGATCCTGCCTCTGCTCCGTGAGACCTCACCTGCAGTACTGCATCTAGAGGTGGAGTCCTCAGTACAGGAGAGGCACAGACCTGTTGGAGCACATCCAGAGAGATGCCACAAAAATGACCAAGGGATGGAACACCTCTAAAGGACCGAGAGCTGGGGCAGCGCAGTCTGGAAGGAGAGAAAGCTTTGGGGAGCCCTGAGAGTGGCCTCTCAGTACCTAAGGGGGCTGTAAGAATGAGGGGGCAGACTCTCTAGTGGGGTCTGTTGTAATAGGACAAGTGGAAATTATTTCAAACAGTAAGAGAGGACATGTAGATTCGATATAAGGAAGAAATATTTTTTTAGCAGTAAGGATGGTGAGGCACTGGCACGGGTTGCCTAGAAGGGTGGTGGATGCCCCGTCCCTGGAGACACGCAGAGTTGGGCTGGACAGGGCTCTGAGCACCTGATCAGCTGTCAGTGTTCCTGTTCGGTATGGGGGAGTCGGACCAGATGACTTTTAGGGATCCCTTGCAACTCAAACAATTCTATGATTCTGTTTAATCATTCTGCTCTCTTCAGTAGCGCAGAGCACGTGTATCATTCTCTTTGGGTTTAGCCTCTGGAAAGGACTGGAAACCTTCTGGCTGCCGTGTTACCATGCATCCCAGCCATCTCAGTCACCGCTGTCTGTGCTTTGTGCAGGATCCTGAAGGACTCCCTGGGGGGCAATGCCCAGACTGTGATGATAGCGTGCATCAGCCCTTCCTCCTCTGACTTCGACGAGAGCCTCAACACACTGAACTACGCCAGCCGAGCTCAGAATATCCAGAACAAAGCGGTGGTGAACTGCCGCAAGGAAACAGAGCAGGTGGAGGAGCTCCACCTGCAGATAAAGAACCTGCAGAAGGCGCTGGAGCAGCGGCACCGCTCCGAGACACGCATCATCAACCGCTCAGACGCCACCAAGCGCTGCCCCCAGGAGCCCAACGCTCGGCTGCTGGCTGAGTGCGCACACTACCGCACCTGCACAGATGCCGCTTACCGGCTGCTGATGGAGCTGCAGGAGGACAGCAACCTGACTGTGGAGCAGATCCTGCGGGTGAAGGAGTGGCTGTGTGCGGTGGAGAGCGAGAGGAGCGAGCTGACCTCGGCCGGGCTGGATAGCGGCATCGAGAGCACTTCTGCAGAGGATCAGAGCCTCGAGGCACAGGGGTGCAAGCTGCCCAAAGCTCAGGTAGCAAACGGCTGGGGGGTTTGGGCTCGGACGCACTGTCTGCCTGTCCTGTATCTGCAGACTGATGTCTCTTCTGTATCCCAGGGGCAGGCGAGCACTGAGAAAGGCTGTGAGGCCATCAAGGACAAGCACGTGGCCAACCTGCAGAGACAAGTGGAGCGCCTGGAGGAGGAGAACCGGGATTTCCTGGCTGCCTTGGAGGATGCCATGGAGCAGTATAAGCTGCAGGTATTGCTGGGATGTGCTTTCTTAAACGAAACCTGCCCCGCTTCAGGGTGCAATCCAGCCTTGGAGTTCCACTGCAGCACCTCTGGGATCTGTGTTACTTTGTGACATTTTTCTCACTGCCTCCCTAGAGTGACAAACTGCAAGAGCAGCAGGATAAGATCTCAGAGCTGCACGTGCGCCTGGAGATGGCGATGCCAAACCTATGTGTGCCAGAGCTGCTGGAGAACCTGCACCTGGTGACTGCCACCCAGCGACCACACACAGCCCCGCTGGCAGCTACACAGCCCCATAGCCTCAGGGGCCATTGTCAGAAGGTGAGTTGGAGCTCTGCCTTTTTGCTGTACCTAGCAGCAATGCCCAGATGGGAGTCAGCTGCCTTCCTTAATTCTGGCTGTCCTGCAGCACATTTCATCTCTTTGCAATTCTCTACCCCAGCAGCTCAGCAGCAGTTCCTCCTTAAAGGAGGACTCAGTCAGCTGTCACCCAAACCTAC